CCCGTCCCGGGGCACGAACCTGTGTCCCCCGCATCGGCAGGCGGACTCTCAACCACTGCGCCACCAGGGAAGCCCTGGTTTTGTTTTTGACTGAGTGATTTTGACAGTTTAGGGTCATACCCAGTTGGTCATCAAGACTGGAAAGGTTGTCTCACTAAAGTTTGGGAAGACAAGTATGATTCTGCTCAAATGCCATACTTCTTAGAGGTGTGACCTTGGGTAACTCGACCTCTTTGGGCTTTAGTTTCCTTATTTGTAGGAGGTTTGGCTTCTTGGGTGAGCTTTCCAGCTCGTACTCTGCTGTTGAAACAGATGCCTCTCACATAAGCCCTGTACAACAGGTCTGTGGAGTCAGAAGGGTGCCAGTGGCTCATTTGCTGGCCTCTGCTCCGTGCCTGGCACTGTGCTGAGCCGCTTGGTTCTCAGCAGCCACACAAAAGTGCTTTTCTCAGCGTTTTACAGATGAGGAACTAGCTCAGAGGGGTTGAGTGATTTTTGCCCAGAGGGTCCCCCAGGTGTGGCTACTCTCCAGGGCCTGTTGAATGTGGCTACAGCTTTTTGGGTTTGATAGCTTAGGAAAGAGTCCAAAAAAATGACTTATTCCAGAACATGAAAGCAAACTTAGGTAGCATGATCATGTTCGGTAGCTAATCTAGTTGGAATGCTATAAATTCTACTTGCATTCATGACGATGTAATTTTGCAGTCTGTTCAGCTAATATTCTTTGCCCGCCCGCCCCCTCCCACACACACAAGCTGTGCCTTGGAGGCCACAAAGACAAATCAGATGTGTACCTTGCCTCTAGGGAGGTTATGACGTTACTGGGCAGGTAAAACATAACTCAGGATAACTTCTGATCAAGGCCAGAAAGCTAGAGGTACGTTAAAGAACTAAATGCATTGAGAGAAAGGGAGAGGTTATTTCTGGCTGAGGGGATCAGAAGAGGTGGCATCTGAATTAGATCTGCAGGGTGGGTCCAAGTTGAAAATACAGGAGAGGAGAGGCAGTGCTGGAGGTGGGGCAGGGTGTGCCTTTGGAGATCCCAGGCCTTGTGGTTCTCTGTCGGTGCGGGGGTGGGGGTGGGGGGTGTGGATTAGAAGGCACAGACCAAATGGACACACTCCCACAGGTCAGCCCCTATCCCTCCCATCCTTCCTGTTCCTGCCCCACAGAAACATTTCCAGTTTCTTACCAGACAACGTGCCCTTTTTCATGCATCCCTGCGTTCACACGTTTTTCCTTACACCTAGAATATGTGTTCCATCTGGCAAAAATTCTACTCAGCTTTCAAGGCCCCCCGCGGAAGTCACCGCTTCTGCGAAGCCTACCAGGCCTGAACTGTTCCTGCCCCTCTTACTGCACCCGTTGCACCATGGTGTTGTTTTCCTATCGGTGTTCCTTAGGAAACCTAGTCTGCCTTCAGAATCATCAGTAGAGCTTTGAAAGTACAGATTTTGAGGCAGGATATCCTGAGTCAGCAGGTTTGTAGGTGACTGAGGTGGGGGAGGGGAAACACCCCCTCCTCAATGGTGAGGCTGGGACTTAACTTTTGTTTGTGTATTGGCACCCAGAGATACTTAGTAAAACTTTGTTGAGTGAAATACACATATAACAAAGTATCAAGTATAGTACCCACTTGGTAAACTGGTCTGGAAAGCAGATGAAAGAATTAGACCAGCTTGACCACTTGTGGTAATTCTAAAACAATAGGATTTGGCCTGGGAGGGTGGGGGGGTTCTATCTATCTTAAATGGCATCTGGTAATACCCCAAGAGCTTAGAGACACATTCGAAGTGATTGGTAGTAAAGTGAAACAAATGTGATTCTTAAAAGATGTGCAAGTAAATCTAGTTGTCATTGGATTCACAGTAGCCCAGGACCAGCTCTGTACCCTTCCTCAAAAACCAATATGTTGACTTGTCTCTGCTGTTTGTAGTAAGTGTATAACATGCACTCAGACAGATACACTCCAGCTTGATTTCAGTGAGGGTTTCCATTCTGTCCTGTGTGATATTTTTATTGACCCTCTACTTGGTAGAGGGTTGAGTCCAAAGAGGGCCTGTTGGTGACCCCAAATTGGTGGTTCTCAACTGGGGGCAGTTTTGCCCCACGGGGGTCGTTTGGCGCTGTCTGGAGACATTTTTGATTGTCACAGCTTGGGGAGTGCTACTGGCATCTGGTGGGTAGAGGCTGGGATGGTGCTCAACAGTGCACAGCACACCTGCCACGACACACTTACTGGTCCGAAATGTCAGTTGTGCTACAGTTGAGAAAGCCGGCTCTGGGTGATGAGGTTTGTCTGTCTTTTCTCCCTGGAGAAAGATGCTCATTGTTTCTGCTTGGTGAGGGCAGGAGCCTTGTTTTGCTGCCCCTCCCCCGAGCCCATGACAGCATTTAGTCTCCGTAAAGCTCTGTGTCGGGCACCTGGTCACTGCTCAGTATTTGTGGAAACTTGTTGGCAGCAGCCCTTCCCTTTGGTGGGTGTTTTGCTGTTATAGACAGTGCTGCCTTGAACCTCCCAGACATACATCTTTGTGCCTGTGTCAGTGTTTCTTCTGGGATCCAAGAAGCAGGATTGCTGGGGATCAAAAAGCACATGCGGGGCTTCCCTGGTGGCGCAGGGGTTGAGAGTCCGTTTGCTGATGCAGGGGACGCGGGTTCGTGCCCCGGTCCTGGAGGATCCCACATGCCGCGGAGCAGCTGGGCCCGTGAGCTGTGGCCGCTGAGCCTGTGCTCTGCAACGGGAGAGGCCACAGCAGTGAGAGGCCCGCGTATCGCAAAAAAAAAAAAAAAAAGCACATGCATTTAAAACTTCATTAGATGTCAAAAAAAAAAGTTGGTGAAGAAATGCAGCCCCACTCCTAGGTGTGTGCCCTGGAGGAACTCACACGTGTATACACACACATACGTCACAGCGCAGAGCAGACCAGAGAGTGCAGGGTTGGTGACCACCTGTCCTCTGACAGGAGAACATTGTTCTCATGCTGCAGAGCAAATGAACGCCTGAGAGCTGCACACCTCAATATGGATGAATTTCACAAACAAGATAGGGAGGAAAAAGCCCCAACAAGATACTGGAGATGATATTCACTTACCTAAAGCACATCAAAACGGAACTGCATGTCTTTAGGGATATCTACAAGTGTAGTATAAAGAATGCATGAGGGGCTTCCCTGGTGGCGCAGTGGTTGAGAATCTGCCTGCCAATGCAGGGGACACGGGTTTGAGCCCTGGTCTGGGAAGATCCCACATGCTGCAGAGCCACTGGGCCCGTGAGCCACAATTA